AAGGGTGCATGCATTTGGCGGGGGGGGGGGGGTCACTGACATGAAACTAATGTGCAAATCACAAGATATGAGTTAACCTGCTGCATGGCTGTTTAACCACTTAAGCTTTCAAACCTTTACACTCCCCAAGGACCGGAGACATTTTTACATTTGTGCTATTTCTGCAATAATAAGCAATAGCAATCAATCAATGGAGGTACAGACAAGGGAGTGGGAATGCTTGCTCTAGAGAGGTAGAGCCAGCTGTCAATTAGACAGTCGGATAGATTCCGACAATACAGTTGGGATTCTCATGGCTGCAGCACAGCTCTGCGCCGTCAGCAGATAGCAGGCAGTAGTCGGCTATATTGCCAACTTTGGGTCAGAGGAATGCATTAGTAAATGTGCTATGGTGACCCAAAAGAGAATTTAAGCCATAAAAAGGTTTGGTTTTACTTTTCTTTTAAAATGACACTATAATTATGATTCTGGTACACAGCATTACAAAACTATTTACAGATGAATAGCGTTTACCATTTTGTTTAAATGTGACACAAAAAACAAACCATAGTAAAAAAATAAAATAAATTAAATGTGTTTTAAATTTTGAAAAATAATTAAGGACTAGAAAAACAGAAGAGAAAAAAAAAATATATAAACAAGAAAATAACAGTAAAGGGAAAACAAAATGATTAAATTGGGGCTCTTGGGCACTAAAAACATCCCTGATCTCACAGAGCAACACTGGATTGAATTAATGCCATGGGATTAGGGTACTTGCATAAAACCTATTTTACCCCACTCAGATTATTCAGAATGGGCAGGAAGAGCGACCCTACCTGCTATAAATGTTCTGCATCTGAGGGCCACCTGATGCACATGACACAGAGTTGTAGTAAAGGCCCTTTTGGTCACAAATACAAAATTAATCGCTGACAACTTTGTGGTGCTGAATATTTGTAACCCAGTGGGGCATCCTTGCGGACACTGACTCAAGTACTGAAAAAAATGTGTATTCTTATGCTAGAAAGACTGTAATACTGAAAGGGGTCTACCCCACTCCCCTACATTTAGCCATAAAGAAAATTCTGATCAAATGGTGCCATTATACAATGTATGATTACCAATTACTCACATGCATTTTGGCACGTTAATGTAAAAGAAGCTAAATAGCTGAAATGAACTGCATTGTGAAACATATTTGTTATAATAAAACCAATTCATTGGGAATTGTTGTATTGCACATGTGAGTGTGTGCAACAGTAGTAAGATATGGCAATGGTTTGACTAGCTACATGTTAAGGTATCAGCATTGTTCTTTCTGGTATTTATTTAATTGCCAGTTTGTGTTATTTTCATACTAAAGTAAAAGCATTTACCTTTAAAAAAACCAAAAAAAAAACCATGAACAGTGTTCTAACTCCAATCTGTTTCCCATCAGACATTAACACAACATGTATGATGGAATGCTGATTGAACTGTTTAGATAAAAGAAAAATCTTTCAATGTGAAGATACCATTGTATATCGACAGCCATAACAAATGTGACAGAAGCTTAGCTGAAGATTAGAAGAAATAAAAGACGCATGGAAGGTAGTTGCTTAGTAACTAGTTTCCTGCGACATGTACATGTGTGGAGGAGTCAGTTGAATCATAAGAGCACCAATTTGCCAGAGGCACCAACACTTCTTACCTCCTACTATTTATATTAGCAAAGCCTGAAATCTAGCATCCATTAGTCCCAATGTATAGAAACCAAATTATTATGCTTTTTTAATACTGTGCGACTCAATTAAGAATAATGCTAGAAATATTTGAGCACGGCAAGCAAAGATTTACAAATGTAAACTCTGGATTGGTCAGAATTACTTCTTTAAACTGAAATCATAAAGGTTTAAATCATGGGTAGAAAAAAATGTATTCTGCATATTGAATGTGTTGTACAGCTGCTCTATATTTTACAAGTCTGTGGGTGAAGCCTGATCTAAGGTGCCTGTAGGTTTCAGAGCAGGTTTGCTACAAGTTGGAAGTACCTATGTGTGTGTGCCCACACTCCTAAACATAAGGATTTGGATCTACTGAACATGTTTGTTTTTTTAAAACAGAGGGAGAGTTTGAGAGCAGCACCAGCAGATGCTTCCCAGGGGCCTATTAAAAAGGAAGGAACAATGGCGATCAGGGCAGGTTTGTTAAATTGCCCAGTTATTTGCTCCTCTAGTTTATCAGTGGGCCAACAAGGCTTTACAAACATAAAATAGTCAGATTGGGAGAAGGTAATCTTCTGCTTTGGCTCTGAACCAGAAAAAAAGGGCCCAATCAGCAATGCCCTGCCTCTGCCAGTACTCACTCCTGCAAGTACGTATGATGGGGTCTGACCATACAAATTAGTGCTGCCAACTCTGGCAGGGATAAGAATGCATATGTATGCTGAAAGACTTCACGAAGTAGACTTCACAAAGCATTTTTGAAAAAACAGATCTATAAAAGGATAGCTGTCCTTTACAAAAGGAACGGTAATCATATTCCGTACATACTGATAGCCACCAGAAAAGCCAATCAAGCGATTTTGATCAAAATACGATCAGAATATGAACAGCAAGTACAAATATGAAAGACGTGAATTTTAAAATGTGTAAATACTAAAAAATGAATCTCGTTTTCCCTTATGTATGAATGAGTATAAACAAACCACTGAAAATCAGTCGCTTATTGTAGATTTTTGTATTTATCACTCCATTAAATTGCCATTATGTTGAAGGTGCCAAATTAACAGCTACCCCATTCAAAAAATTCAGAACTATGAAGGAGTGTTAGCAGGTCCAGGGCTCCGACAACAACATCTAATAAACAGAGTTGTTGGACATCCCATTCAACTATAAAATTCCTCTATAGCAGTTACTGGAAAATGGGGAAAGGGCTCAACTTTGTTTAAATCATTTACCATACAGTATAATCCTCTACCACAGTTACCACAAACTTTGGTAGGGGTTCAACGCTCTTTAATACAACACAAAATGCCCACTTCACCAGGTCATTTACTGCAACACGATACATGACATAGCATAGTAAAACCTCACCTCCTTTGTGATCCAACAACCTCCTTTACACTAGTTTTGTTTTAGCAAACACTGCCACAAAACAGGACAATTGTAACAAATGGAAAATGCAGTTACTTAATAAACATTTCAATGGAATAAAGTACATCTAGATGCACAATGGTGCACCTTAACCTTGAAAGCGTCAAATGATAATAACGGCAGAGTATACAAATGTACATTAATATTTGGGCTATATAATATGCGCCATATTTAACACACATTTTATTCTGCATGAATACATTGAGGAGTACCTTCATCTGTTCTGTTAATTTCCTGTTCGCTGAGGCGTGAGCTTGCTGGCCGTGAAGAGGACACCACGGATGGCTGTAATGATGGCAATTCGTCGACATCCCGAAGATTTGCCAGCATATCTTGGAGTTTCGATCTGTTTGGCCCTAACCACAACAATAAGGAAAGTGGGAGCAGAAAATGTTTAGTTTCTTCCATAAACACCCATTTTTTGTTCACTGTAAATTCTAAGCAGGTAGTCAAGAAATATGAGAGATTAAGTTTAAAAACTTCTTTTTTTATGAATTACTGTAAAATCACAATACCATATCTAGTCTAAGACTGATATAAGCAAATCAATAATAAATATGATATTTGCATATAAGTAGCCTGGAAACTTGTTTATAGCAACATTGTCTTTACCTTACACAGATAAAACACCCTTACACTCCACTTGACTCTTACCTGAGCTTTTCTCCAACATGCTCCCACAGCCCTGTTTTGATTGTTTTATGTGGGACACAGGCTGAGACATTTCTTCTGAGGTTTTTCCTGTTGTAAGTTTAGGGACAAAAGGTTCTTTAAGAGATGGAAACTCTAACCACTGGTAAGGCATTTCCTAGATCAGTAAATCAGAAGTGCTTCAATACAATGTACATAGGTAATTTTCTGACAACATAATTTGGTAGCAGTACATTTAGTGTTATATTGACACACATTCTATGCATTTACAGATTTAGGAAGTGCTTGAAATGTGTGAGAAGTAGCACGTGCTCTCTGCCAAAACTCTGACAGCATGTCATTAGGTCCATAACTGAAGAGGCCCTTCATGTATGAGGGTGGAGAATGGTGCAAAACCGCTAATGGGCCATGTCATAAATGCAGCACTGAGTAAATCATGCAGAGCTTCACAGATTAGGCAAACAGAGCTAACTAGAATAACTTCAACTGGAAACACAAAGACCAGATTGTAGGTATATGCGTAACATGCTGCAAAAAAAGACTTTTTTCAGAAACTTAAAACCAGGGAGGAGAGTGCAAGTTTCAACAGCAGTTTCTACATTTCTCAGGGCTGCGGCTCTATCATTTAGCTTGCGAGGGGGAACTGCCAAACACCAATCCCATTCATTGGGGCCAAACATCTAAGACAACATTTCAAAATGGACAGGCACAAGAAACCAGGGTGTGAAACAAAGAAACCACTCTCTAATCTAAATTAAAAGTAAATACCTAGGACAGAGACACAGATCCACAAATAAATCAGAAGAATGGCAAAACTATTAGTGTGGAAGTCTCTAAGCAATGGTGATTTAACCTTACCAATAGTGATACATGTCAAGCTAACATAAGGTACGTGAACAAGTGAAAATAGTATCACATATCTATATGCATACAATGGCATTTACAAAATTACTTGTTTAACACTTTCTACAGGCATTGGACAGTGCTGGTTATTGCATTTATAATTCAAAATCATCAACAACCTCTCTTCTGAATTGCATAAGCACATTTAGGTGTGTGTTTAGGTCAATGATCTAAGTTTGAAGATAGCTGAAAGTGCATGCATCCATCTCCTGATGTGAGAAGGTGCAGAAGATCATCTAAAGACAGGACAACCATCAATATGTATTGTAGCTCTTATCAATAAATATGCATTTCTAAATTAATACAACTACACAGTATTTGTGTTTTTTGTTTTTATATCTAAAACACTGGTTTAAATGGGGATTTACAAGATACATCTTTGACAGAGTGCACATAAGGTGGGTCTTGGTATTAGACAGATAAATGTCAACAACTCTGTTTTACTCGTGCACATGGAGTATAATCATACTGTGATAATTAGGTCAGCATTGCACACAACATTTTCTGCATCCAAAACTGCCATTTGATATCAGGTGAGTAAACACCTGCACGACCGAAGGCATTAGCAGGCCCCGATGGATCATTTTTAGAGGATTGTTCAAATGTATTTTCCCAGATGAGGGGAATAGTTTTCCCTCCCGAAGACTTGGCAGCAAAAAAAATTGTGCATCATTGTTCAGGACAATCATGTGCTGGTCAGATCATTTACCAGAAATATCTGCTGTTGATAGCTGACCAGCATTTGTGACTTTACTTCAAATATTGACTTTTTTTTGTATTCGCAGTCCCAGTCTCTACTACTATTGCTTCATAGAACGGCCTGCCTAGAAATAACTGTCAATCTAGTGTAAAAAAGGCTAAATAAATAAAAAGAGGAAAAATAAAAACTGCTGCAGGTCTAAAGTTCAGGTACCAGACAGGGATGAATGTTGGACTATTTTGACAGCCCCTTCCTGCTTCCTACTAGTCAGTAAGCCAGTCTATTGCCCTGGTGGGTCAATAGCAATGTGGGGAGGAAGGCTCAACAACAAGCTACAATATTATCCAGAGTCAGGGCTTTGCCTGTCAGAATGGCCAAATATTTGGTTGAAACTGTAGGGTTTTTAAGCTGCTGCAAATGTGTACAGGGCCACTGCTAGGTGCCTATTCTTTATACTTGCAGCAGTTTTTCTGTTTCGAGTCTAAGTGAAACTGTTGCTCAGAAAGATCTGTAAGAATTACAAAAATCTTGAGCATAACTAAAGCCATTAAAATCCACAGAAAACCCATATCAGCATGGCTAAACTTGCCATTTCAACGAATTCACGCAATTTGGGCACTTAATATTGCTAGCCAACCCCTAGCCATTAGAATACTTTAGCCTTCAGGCAATAGTAACTACAAAATCCCCAGTATACAACTTAAAAAATAAATAAATCAGTAATGTAAAAGAGCAATGGGATTCATATGAAAATGTTCATGCTCTCATTGCAGCAAATTTCAAACCATAAAAGGTATGGCAAAGGTTGTGCTGTATTTTCAGCTTTAGTAAGATTGATAAATAGAAATGAATTGCCAAAGCAAATATATAGAAGTTTCAACTTTCTCAAGATATATGAACTGGGTGCTATTAGCTACTATTTCTATACAACTTTTTTTTTTCTTTTTAAATAAAAAATCTATCATCTACATTTGTTTATTTACAATAATCAGAATGTACAAATGTGAGCCAGTGTTATACGAGTGGCACAACAAACATACAAAACTTCAATTTTAAGCATAGCATTTTAAAAAGTGTCGTAAAATTACCTGTTCAGATTTACACACAGCAGTTTCAACCAAACATATAAATGGACACTCCAAGTATTTCAATATAATGCAATGCATGTAATGCTTTTGGAGAGATGATCAAACAAATTGTGCCTGGGCATTCTTGGCAATGCACAACTAGACTGCAATGCTTTCAAACAATGCATACTGAATGCATAGCTTTAATTAAAAAAAATAAAAATTACTTTTCCTTTTTCCGGGCACAGAGAGCTCAGTTTTGAATCCCCAAAATATACAGGCAGTAAAGAATAACATATAAACGGAATAATTACCTTTTACATTGTTTGTATAAAAGTTAAAACCGAACTTTCGGCTGGCTATAAAAAATTAAATTCGCCTATTAAGACAATAATGCTTGTTTTTCCAGGGGAAACAGAGGAATACTTGCCTTGATCCCTAGTTCTACACTTTCTCCCTGCTGGTGAAAGCAATGATGACCAGTCTCCTACAGCCATTCTACTTGTCTACTCAGGTCCCCCCTCTCACGTAAGTCATTCCATACAACGTATTGTACGTGATGAAGGGCTGGAAAGAAGAGGATCGGAGTGCTGGCTGTTGTGAGACCATGGGTTAAGGGAATTATTACCCTCTGTTAGTTCCCCCTTGACAAGCATTACATTTTGCATATGCTAAAAACTGAGTTAGTAACACTCAGTCAAGCCATATAATGTAAATCAAATTTAATATTGCCTCTCTAAACCTTTCACATGTTCCCAGTAGGGAACCATCATACTGCTTTTTAGAAGGTTTTAAAGGCTTGATATAATGATGCAAAACTCATTATCTAAATGTATTACTGATTGGCTGGAATGTGGAAAAGATTCTAAAAATCACAATGACAACAATTCACACCAGTAACAAAACAGGTACATAAACAGCGGAAGTGTCACCTGCCAATTATATTCCACTTTTAAAAATACAGTAATAATGTGATCAACCTGTCTTTAAACAAGGGACAATTAAAACCTCAACACTAGATAAGTGCATGTGCCATTCATTTTTAAAATTAAATTCATACACATTACATTGTGGGTGAAAGCCATTGGATTTGAGTGTGGGGGCAAAAATTACACAGGACATGGCAGCGCACATATGAAAATCTAAAATCTTATACTGCGAATCATCAAACGTTGGGTTTTTTTTTTCTTTTTCACTATAAAGACACCAAGAAAAACTAGGTAATACAGCACACTGCTAGACTGTATTAAGATCTGAATGAGCACAAGAGATCGTGTGAATCGTTATCAACTTGGCTGGTGTTAGCAATGTGCTAGTCTAACAAGTGACAGAGCTCAAATGCCCGTTAAAAGGTGAACAGCAGGTAAAAAGAGGAGGAGGAGCAGCAAAGTAAAAGAGTAAGTGGTTGAGGAAAACATTGAAAGAAAATAACGAAAAATAGCTTTGGAGGGAAGGTAGGATATGGAAGAGGTGGGATTGATGATTTGGAAGTGCAATGTTTTCCACTTACTCTTCACCCCTTTTTTCCCCTTGCGCTCCTTTTTGTACTGTTCCTTGAGTTTGGTTATTACTCCCTGATCGACATTCCAGGATTCCGGTATGGGACACTGGTCTTCCTTTTCTAAACAGTGAAAGAAATCAAACACATTCCTCTTCAATACAGTGGACTTCACCTGAACATATGTCTGAAGGAGAACCTGCCCTTCCAACCTAACGGTCACCAAAGGAAAAGCGGCTGCAGCTACCTCGCAAACACTAAATTACTAAATAGCTATGGCGTTACAGATGTCTACTGCTTATGTGATCAACTAAAAAGGTGCACAGTGCATTACTAAGGTTTACGGACAACAGATGAAAATAAGTCTAAAAAAAAAAGTCCTGACTGAAAATGGTACTTGTACATATAACAAAGTGATATTTGGTAATTGGTTGATATTGATAACTTGGCTTGCCCTTAAGTATTTAAAAAAGTGTTGGTGTTAGTTCACACCATATGCAGTGTGTTTCGGTCCGATTCTGGCCGGAACGCACGACACTGCATTACGGCCGGCTCACTTTTTTGCCGGGCAGGAGGGGGCGTGGCAGGCCATTGAAGTGAATGGCAGCGTAGCCACACCCTCTGGCCGCAATGCGATCACCCGCACGGGATTGCAAGGCACATTGTGCCTGCGGTCCAAACAAAATGCTGCAAGCACTATTTTGATCGCACCGGACCGCAGGCACAATGGCAGGCACACTTCAATGGCCCACCACGCCCCCTCCTGCCCGGCAAAAAAAGTGAGTTGGCCGCAATGCGATGCAGTGCATTCCAGCCAGAATCGGACCGGAACGCACTGCATATGGTGTGAACTAACCCTTAAGCATCTATGTAATGTTTCAGTAAACAAAATGTGCAAAATATAAATAAAATCTGCTGCAGTTGGATGCATGTTTGCATGTGTTTACAGCCTGTCATTTCCCCCATAGGCAACACAGCGCATCTTCCTAGATCACGAAGGAAAATGCAGGTTGTACATTTCAACATGCATGCTGCTCCAATGACTGCACCAGCTGGAAGATGCATCCAAGTGCAAGGTGGCTATTTTTTAATTGCATCAACAAATGTTGTTACGGTAACACAACAAAACTGCAAAGACTACAATAAAAAAAATCACAGTTTTACACAAGGGTGACATTCTTACAAGTACATGGTTGTCACATTGAACAAACTCCACCCAAGGAAACATGCAGTAACTAACAATGCTGCAAACTCAAGTATTTTCTCATTTCTTACTCTAGAGTTGTAAACCATTGCAAGCTCCAAAGGGCATTTGGGAAAAATTACATATTAACCTGTATAAGCGTACAATTTAAACTACAACTTGCATTAAACCAAGCACAAAGGGACTCACGCCCAGTATCATTTTACTTGGAATAACCAATGCACAGAGAAAGTAATCTTTAGCTGTTTATCCAATTGTTTAAGGAAGTGGGCTTGGCAATCTAGTCCCATATTTCTTCTGATAAAAAAAAAAGCATAAAAAGTGTATCCATAGCCAAAAAGTTGCTTAGTTTTAGATAACAAGTGGAGCATCAGAATTCCTGTCAGGTTTTACTGCTGTCCAAGGCTCTGTTAGAGAGATTTCCACTCACCTCCTGTCCCGGGAACAACTTTTTCACCAGACCGGAAAAAACTATTAACAGAACAGATTTTTTCTTTTTATTTCATTAGGTTATGGAAGGGAATGCTAGAACCCATGTCAGCTTTTTATTGTCTTTTTCCCTGTTGCAGATTTTTGCTTACTTACTGTATGGTAAAACGTTGTTTTCCCTTCGTTACCCATCACGGACAACTACATCACCCGACTCCTCCCCCCTTCCCTTCGTTAGCCAACAGAGCCACTCGGGGAAGGGGGGAGGAGTCCGGTGACGTCGATGTCCGTGACGTCACCGGATCTCCGACGGAAGACCCAGAAGCCGGCGGAGAGGTGAGTAACTTTGATCAAAATAATTTTGATCGATCAAAGAAATTAACGATTAATCGACGGCACACCAGACAATATCTCACAGCATACTAGTGTGCCGCGGCACAGTGGTTGAAAAACGCTGCCCTAGAGCATAAAAAATGAGGAGAAATCTCTCTAACAGAGAAATAAAAGCAGACAGGGGGATCTGTAAACCTTCCACACTCACCTCAAAAATAAAAATGGCTAAAGATGCACTTTAATTTTTATACAACAGTTAATAAGAGTTAAAGGAGAACTATGGGGTCAGGGTTTTTCCCCATAGTTCTCCTAAGTGAACACAAACTAGCATCCTCCCGTGACCCAAAGCTCAGTATACCGCGAGCTGAGACGCTGCAGCCGGAACGGATGGCGAGATTGCTGTCGAGATCCACCCAGCTGCGGGATTGACAGCTGGCTCTGCCTATCCAGAGGCAGAGCCAGCTATGCCCGCCCCCTCCCCCGTCCGTTCCGCCAGTCAGCGCTGGAGGATCGGACAGGGGGGATCCCTGCACGGAGCCGTGAGTGGCAGTCACGGCTCTCTGCAGGGATAGATCGAGAATTGAGTGAGCGCCGGTATGTGTTCGCTCACTTCCTGATCTACTGAGCCGACCTGTGACAATGAAACTGAAACTCAGATTATGAGGCTGGGTGAAAAAAATCACTCGCCTCATAATTCTCCTTTAAATAAGATCTGAAGAAGAAAACTTTGTCTGCCGCTTTTCCCTGCTGCTCTTATTTCGAAAGGAAAAGACCTATAAAATACTTACCTGCTTGCTGGAGCGGGTTTCTTCAGGTCCCAACCAGCCACTGCTTCTCTGACCTTTTCAGCTCACCAAGGGTGAGTTCTGTATTAAGCAGAGACAGCCAATTGGTCCTCTGCCTCACCTTGAATAAGCCTATCACTAAGATACCAGTCAGTGCCTTCGCCGAGGGATAAAGAAGCAGCACCAGGTGAGAAAATACATAAGCTCTAATTTATTTATTTTCTCCCTATAAGTAAAACTCTTCACAGAAAAAGATCATTGTGGTGCAAACTTCATCAGCATTACCTCACTGTCGTTAGGTCACAGCCTTAGAAAATGTATTTACCCAACTTAAACAACTCTTCATAAACATTAGCAGCCAATAAGAATTACATTTATATTGTAATAGAGTTTCAGTATGATCTACCAGGAATATACAGTCCTGGCCAAATGTTGAGAATGACACAAATATTCATTTTCACAAAGTCTGCTGCTTCAGTTTGTATGACGGCAATTTGCATATACTCAAGAATGTTATGAAGAGTGACCAGATCAATTGCAATTAATTGAAAAGTCCCTCTTTGCCATGAAAATTAGCTTAATCCCCAAAAAACATTTCCACTACATTTCAGCCCAGCCACATGTTAACACAGGTGCAAGTGTTGACACAGGTGTCAGTGTTGACGAGCACAAGGCTGGAGACCACTCTGTCATGCTGATTGAGTTAAGGTGCCCATACAACTTACGACCATCACAAGACTTTTGTCTTGCGATGGTCGTATGCTTATTGAAAGCTCGTACGATCTGCCCACCTTGGGCGGGCAGATCGTACTTGCGATCATCGAAAGACCACCCCGCTGAGGGGCGTGCTTCCGATGACCGCAATGCAGAACGGGCAGTGCGTGCGTGCGCACACCGGCCCGTTCCAGAGCTATCGAACGAGCAGGCTAGAAACCCGCCGAGAATCGTACGATTGTTGGGTTTTCGAGCATGCTGCTTCGACAAAAGACGTGCGACCGTACAGTAAAAACGGTCGCTCGTCTTCGTTCACACTGCTCGATTCTCGTACGAGCGGGGGATTTCCCGCGATTCTCGTACGAGTGGGGAGGAGTCCGGTGACGTCGATGTCCGTGACGTCACCGGATCTCCGACGGAAGACCCAGAAGCCGGCGGAGAGGTGAGTAACTTTGATCAAAATAATTTTGATCGATCAAAGAAATTAACGATTAATCGACGGCACACCAGACAATATCTCACAGCATACTAGTGTGCCGCGGCACAGTGGTTGAAAAACGCTGCCCTAGAGCATAAAAAATGAGGAGAAATCTCTCTAACAGAGAAATAAAAGCAGACAGGGGGATCTGTAAACCTTCCACACTCACCTCAAAAATAAAAATGGCTAAAGATGCACTTTAATTTTTATACAACAGTTAATAAGAGTTAAAGGAGAACTATGGGGTCAGGGTTTTTCCCCATAGTTCTCCTAAGTGAACACAAACTAGCATCCTCCCGTGACCCAAAGCTCAGTATACCGCGAGCTGAGACGCTGCAGCCGGAACGGATGGCGAGATTGCTGTCGAGATCCACCCAGCTGCGGGATTGACAGCTGGCTCTGCCTATCCAGAGGCAGAGCCAGCTATGCCCGCCCCCTCCCCCGTCCGTTCCGCCAGTCAGCGCTGGAGGATCGGACAGGGGGGATCCCTGCACGGAGCCGTGAGTGGCAGTCACGGCTCTCTGCAGGGATAGATCGAGAATTGAGTGAGCGCCGGTATGTGTTCGCTCACTTCCTGATCTACTGAGCCGACCTGTGACAATGAAACTGAAACTCAGATTATGAGGCTGGGTGAAAAAAATCACTCGCCTCATAATTCTCCTTTAAATAAGATCTGAAGAAGAAAACTTTGTCTGCCGCTTTTCCCTGCTGCTCTTATTTCGAAAGGAAAAGACCTATAAAATACTTACCTGCTTGCTGGAGCGGGTTTCTTCAGGTCCCAACCAGCCACTGCTTCTCTGACCTTTTCAGCTCACCAAGGGTGAGTTCTGTATTAAGCAGAGACAGCCAATTGGTCCTCTGCCTCACCTTGAATAAGCCTATCACTAAGATACCAGTCAGTGCCTTCGCCGAGGGATAAAGAAGCAGCACCAGGTGAGAAAATACATAAGCTCTAATTTATTTATTTTCTCCCTATAAGTAAAACTCTTCACAGAAAAAGATCATTGTGGTGCAAACTTCATCAGCATTACCTCACTGTCGTTAGGTCACAGCCTTAGAAAATGTATTTACCCAACTTAAACAACTCTTCATAAACATTAGCAGCCAATAAGAATTACATTTATATTGTAATAGAGTTTCAGTATGATCTACCAGGAATATACAGTCCTGGCCAAATGTTGAGAATGACACAAATATTCATTTTCACAAAGTCTGCTGCTTCAGTTTGTATGACGGCAATTTGCATATACTCAAGAATGTTATGAAGAGTGACCAGATCAATTGCAATTAATTGAAAAGTCCCTCTTTGCCATGAAAATTAGCTTAATCCCCAAAAAACATTTCCACTACATTTCAGCCCAGCCACATGTTAACACAGGTGCAAGTGTTGACACAGGTGTCAGTGTTGACGAGCACAAGGCTGGAGACCACTCTGTCATGCTGATTGAGTTAAGGTGCCCATACAACTTACGACCATCACAAGACTTTTGTCTTGCGATGGTCGTATGCTTATTGAAAGCTCGTACGATCTGCCCACCTTGGGCGGGCAGATCGTACTTGCGATCATCGAAAGACCACCCCGCTGAGGGGCGTGCTTCCGATGACCGCAATGCAGAACGGGCAGTGCGTGCGTGCGCACACCGGCCCGTTCCAGAGCTATCGAACGAGCAGGCTAGAAACCCGCCGAGAATCGTACGATTGTTGGGTTTTCGAGCATGCTGCTTCGACAAAAGACGTGCGACCGTACAGTAAAAACGGTCGCTCGTCTTCGTTCACACTGCTCGATTCTCGTACGAGCGGGGGATTTCCCGCGATTCTCGTACGAGAATCGAGTAGTGTATGGGCACCTTTAGAATAACAGACTGGAAGCTTTAAAAAGGAGGGTGGTGCTTGAAATCATTTTTCTTCCTCTGTTAACCATGGTTACCTGCAAGGAAACACGTGCACTCATCATTGCTTTACACAAAAAGGGATTCACAAGCAAGGATATTGCTACTACTAAGATTGCACCTAAAATCAACCATTTATCGGATCATCAAGAACTTCAAGGAGAGAGGTTCAATAGTTGTGAAGAAGGCTTCAGGGCGCCCAAGAAAGTCCAGCAAGCGCCAGGACCGTCTCCTAAAGTTGATTCAGCTGCGGGATCGGGGCACCACCAGTGCAGAGCTTGCTCAGGAATGGCAGCAGGCAGGTGTGAGTGCATCTGCACGCAGTGAGGCGAAGACGTTTGGAGGATGGCCTAGTGTCAAGAAGGGCAGCAAAGGAGCCACTTCTCTCCAGGAAAAACATCAGGGACAGACTGATATTCTGCAAGAGGTACAGGGATTGGACTGCTGAGGACTGGGGTAAAGTAATTTTCTCTGATGAATCCCTTTTCCGATTGTTTGGGGCATCCGGAAAATACCTTGTCCGGAGAAGAAAGGTGAGCGCTACCATCAGTCCTGTGTCATGCCAACAGTAAAGCATCCTGAGACCATTCATTTGTGGGGTTGCTTCTCAGCCAAGGGAGTGGGCTCACTCATAATTTTGCCTAAGAACACAGCCATGGATAAAGAATGGTACAAAAACATCCTCCAAGAACAACTTCTCCCAACCATTCAAGAACAGTTTGGTGACGAGCAATCCCTTTTCCAGCATGATGGAGCACCTTGTCATAAGGCAAAAGTGATAACTAAGTGGCTTGAGGAACAAAACATCAACATTTTGGGTCCATAGCCAGGAAACTCCCCAGTCCTTAATCCAATTGAGAACTTGTGGTCAATCCTCAAGAGGCGGGTGAACCAAAAACCCTCCACAAATTCTGACAAACTCCAAGCATTGATTATGCAGGAATGGGCTGCCATCAGTCAGGATGTGGCCCAGAAGTTGATTGACATCATGTCAGGGCGAATTGCAATTGAATAAAAAGGGTCAACACTGCAAATATTGACTCTTTGTATAAACCTAATGTAATTGTTAATAAAAGCCTTTGACACTTATGAAATGATTGTGATTATACTTCAGTATACCATAGTAACATCTGACAAGAAGATCTTAAAACACTGAAGCAGCAGACTTTGTGAAAATTAAATATTTGTGTCATTCTCAAAACTTTTGGCCAGGACTGTACAAATGGCAATTCAAGAGGTGGTTCCAAATGCATAAGATATTGGCTGGGCTTTGAACATACAGTGAGGAAAATAATTATTTGATCTCCTGCAGATTTTGTAAGTTTGGCCACTTACAAAGAAATGAAAGATCTATAATTTTTATCATAGGACTATTTGAAATTATAGAGACAGAATATCAACCAAAGATCTAGAAAAATACATGATACAAATGTTATAAATTGAGTTGCAGTTCAGGGAGTAAAAAAGTATTTGATCCCCGACTAACCAACAATAATTCTGGTTCCCACAGACTGGCTATGTGGTACACAGATTAGTCCTGTCAATTTAAGGTGCTCCTAACGACAACTTGTTATGTATATAAAAGACACCTGTCCACAGAATCTCTTTCTTCCATTCAAACTTCACCACCATGGGCAAGACCAAAGAGCTGTCAAAGGACGTTAGGGACAAGATTGTAGACCAGCTTGGTGAGAAGGAAACAATTGTTGGAGCGATTATTCGCAAATGGAAGGAATATAAAATAACCATCACCCTCCCTAAGGATGATTATGAGAAAAGTGAGGCATCAGCCCAGAACTACACGGGAGAAGCTTGTGAATTATCTCAAGGCAGTTGGGACCACAGTCACCAAACAAACCATTGGTAACACAATACACCGCCATGGATTGAGATCCTGCAGCGCCCGCAAGGTCCCCCTCCTCAAGAAGGCACATGTAGAGGCCCGTCTGAAGTCTGCCAATGAACATCTAAATGATTCAGAGAAGGATTGGGAGAAAGTGCTGCGGTCAGATGAGACCAAAATTGAGCTCTTTGGAGGAAAAAAAATGCTGACTATGACCCAAAGAACACCATCCTTACAGTCAAGCATGGAGGTGGAAATATTATGCTTTGGGGCTGTTTCTCAACGCGACTTTGCTGTATTGAGGGGCCAATGGACGTGGCCATGTATTGTAAAATCTTGGATGAGAACCTCCTTCCCTCAGCCAGAACACTGAAGATGGGTCGTGGATGGGTCTTTTAGCATGACAATGATCCAAGACATACTGTCAAGGCAAGAAAGTAGTGGGTCAAGAAGAAGCACGTTAAGGTCATGGAGAGGCCTAGCCAGTCCCCAGACCTTAATCCTATAGAAAATGTATGCAGGGAGCTGAAACTTCCAGTTGACAAGGGACAGCCAAGAAACCTCAAGGATTTAGAGAAGATCTGTAAAGAAGAGTGGACCAAAATCCCTCCTGAGATGGGTGCAAACCAGGTAACCAACTACAAGAAACGTCTTACCTCTGTGCTTGCCAACAAGGGTTTCTCCACCAAGTACTAAGTCATGTTTTACTTGGGGATCAAATACTTATTTTACTCACGGAGCTGCAACTCAATTGATAACATTTGTATCATGTGTTTTTTTCTGAATTTTTGGTTGATATTCTGTCTCTATCATTTAAAATATACCTATGATAAAAATTATAAACCTTTCATTTCTTTGTAAGTGGGCAAACTTACAAAATCCGCAGGGGATCAAATAATAATTTTCAACACTAAGTCACAGCACCTTTAAGGATTTCATATTTTCATTAACCAAAAAAAAAAAACCACCCAAACGCTAAGTGCTATAGTTGCCAATTCTGTTGGCAACTATAACGATCGCATTACAACCTCGGTGATAATCTAGCATAAGACTGTACCTTAAGATTTGGTATAGTCAACACTTAATTTTAACCAAATAGGTCAACACTTCCATAACCACTGAGATGCAGCCTTGAGCAATCAGTATTCATGTTTGAAAGACCTTCTACTACTTCCTCACATACTAGAGCTCTTTTATTTGATGTCTATGGGTGCCCTTAAGAACCACTTTTCAAAACAATATTATTCCCCGACTAGTCTGCTATTAATTTATTTATATAATTTTTAATTTTATTATATAATTTTATTTATATATAAAAGGCAACATTTTAAAAGGATATCCACACTTTACATTTGAGATCACGGAGTAGGAAATCATGAGCCCTGTAAAACGAGCATTTACATAGAATACCTGAAAGAAAAATAAACACAGCCTTACCCCACTCAGTGCCATCACCCGCACTTCTCGATTCTCCTCCATCAGTATCATCTGATACCAAAAAGTCAAACTCCTTTAAAGCCTCTTCTGTGTCCCTGTCTTCATTGGGATCAGGCATAACTCTTCTCCTTACAATCTAAGCAAAATAAGATTATATGAAGAACTTCTTGCAAATAATTATATCAATGTTAGTTACGGTTTATCATTTGTAATTATATATGTAAAAGAGAGCAGCAATATTTCCTACATATACATACTGGCTTTTATGTTTAGCAGTGCAGCACAATTGCACTTTACTGCTCCTTTATTTAGTGCAAATCAATAGGGAAGCTCAGACTAAAGAAAGAAAAATTCTATGGGGAGAATTAAAACTGGAGCACACAGTTACATGGTTAGTCAGGTTGAAAAAAGACACATGCCCATCAAATTCAACCTATAGAGAGATGGGAAAAAAAAAAAAAAAAGCCTAAACAGAATGCTATGCCCACAGCTACCCCCTGTTGATCCAGAGGAAGGCATGGTTCACTTTGCTCCAACAAGGGGAAAAAATTCCTTCCTGATCCCGTAAGGCAATCGGATATTCCCTCGATCAACAATCTCTGGTGCTTAATATAAGAACTCAATATCCAGTAATATTCTGTGCATTTAGGAATACATCCAGATTTTTTTTTTAAGCAATTTACTGAGCTAGCTAGAACTAGCTCCTGGGGGAGTCTATTCCACATTTTCACAGCTCCAGCTGTGAAGAATCCTTTCCCTATGCAAAGGATAAAACTTTTTTCCTCCAGACGCAAAGAGTGCCCCCTTGTCCTTTGCAGTGACCTTAAAGTGAATAATTTGGCACCAAGCTCACTATATGGGCCATTTATGTATTTATACATGGTGATCATGTTTCCCCTTAATCGCCTCTTCTCCAGAGAAAACATATTCAGGTCAGTTAATCTTTCCTCATAGCTGAGCTCCTCCATGCCTCTTATGAGTTTAGTCGCCCTTCGCTGCACTTTCTCTAGTTCCACAACATCATTTTTGTGCTCAAAACTGAACTGCATATTCCCGATGAGGTCTTACTAATGCTTTGTACAGGGCAGGGTTAGGTCTATCTCTGAAGTCTATAACCCTTTTAATACAAGAAAGTATTTTGCATGCTTCAGAAACTGGTGCTTGACAGAAACTGGAGCAAATGCCCATGGCAACCAATCAGCATCTCTCTTCAGTTTGCTCAGTTGAGATTTGAAAATGAGGAGGTAGAAGCTGATTGTTTGCCGTGCAAATCTGCACCAGATTTTTTCTGCTCCAGTTTTAATAGATTCCCCCTATGCAGCTTATCCAGCAACTGATTCTATCTCAAAACTGTTGCTGCTTGAGAGGTAGCGCTCCTTAGATTGCAAGGGCCACGATAAAGATTGCAACTAGTCTGCATGCACTTCATTTGTTCTCCCTTTTCTGCCTTTAAAATTATATCTAAACCCAAAAACCTAATACACTGGTCAGCCATAACATTATGACCACTGAGAGGTGAAGTGAACTAGGCTCCATTCACATATAGCGTTAGCGTTTCCCGTGTGGGATGCAAACGCTATATGTGAAACTGCATGGATTCCGCTAGTTTGCGGACAATATATAGCCATGAACCGGAATTTCCGCAATCTGCCGGATTATCACGCCTGCACTATTTTGGGGACCACGCGGTTTCGTACCGTGCGTTTTCCACACTAGTATGAACAATGCAGTGCATTGTTTTTTCTGTTCGGATCGGCTCCACGCATATCCGTAGAGCCGAATATGCGTGGACAGCCGCTCCAGTGTGAATGGAGCCTAACATTATCTTGCTAGAATGGCACCTGGAAGTGGGTGAGATATATAGTACGCAAGTAAACATTTTTTGTCACTGAGGCTGATGTGTTGGAAGCAAAACAAAAATAAATAAATGGGCAAGCATAAGAATTTGAGTAACATTGACAAGGTCCAAATTGTGATGGCCAGATGACTGGGTCAGGTCAACTCCAAAACTGCAGCTTTTGCAGGGTGTTCCTGGTCTGCATTGGTAAGGACATACCAAAAGTGGTTCAAAGAATGAAAACCAGTGAACCTGCTTCAGGGTCATGGGCTCAATGATGCACGTGGGGAGTGAAGGGTGGCCCGTGTAGTCTGATCCAACAGAAGAGCTACTGAAAAAGTTAATGCTGGCTGTGGCAGAAAGGTGTCTGAACACACAGTGCATCGCAATGTGTTGCATATGGGGCTGCGTGGCTGCAGGCCAGTCATCATTAACACCATGCTGACCCGTACCACAGACACGTGAGCATCGGAAACTGGACCACAGAGCAATGGAAGAAGGTGTGGGGATGAGGCAGAGTGAAATGCGTATGTGTTGTGATGAGGGCATGCTCAGGGTACCATCTGTCCTAGCTTATACGGAGGACAGTTTTGATCATTTGGAATGTTGCTTTTTTTTTGTATTGGTCATGTGCAGCAGTGAGGGGATGCCTCTGATGGTAATTGGTGGGAAAATGTGCATGCAAAACTACACCCAGTAGATGACTGTAATGCTCAGTCCCTCAATGTTAACCCAACAGTAAAACTGCCAGAAAATGGAGAATCTAAAAGGAGCTCAGCTGTCCACACAAAGTAAGCTCCTGGTGCTCAGCCCAATCAGGCTATTAACAATTATGAGTAATTTTAAGAGACAGAGGCAACGCAGCAGGGCTCTGGACCTAGAAAGTGCTCCGTGGCCAACTTGTTACCAGAACGAGGTCTGGAAAGCTCAATAGTAGAGACCAGCTGAAGCAGCAAAAGTAGTGAAAAATATAAGGAAAAAAAAGGAAGAAGAATTGCAGAAAAGAAAGCACTAATAAAAAAAATTAGGTTAGACTTTTCTCAATGAAGCTTTGAAGATGTCCAGCCTCCTAAGACTGTACATCCAGTATTTCCTGTCCAGAGTTACATACTTGAAGTCAAGAAAGCTCACCGTTGCAGAATCAATCACAGTCTTGTCTCTGCCATCATTTTCTTCATCGTCCTCTTCATCACTAAACTCAGCTGCAGCATTTTCCAGAAATTTAAAGGTCTCAAGCACAGAAGCAGAGTCTGTCATATCTGGTTTCCTATTTCCAAATGAAAACAGCAAAAGTCCAAGTGGTAATTGTTTAACTACATTCAAAAACGAGATCAATACTAAACTTATCACTTTAACCAGAAAAGAAAGCAGGGCAAGGCTGAAACAACTGATCGACTTTGCCAATAATCGATAATGAGAAAAGTTGTCAATAATTCTCATTATTGATTGGTTGATAATGTCGCAGGAGGTGCATTGTGGTGCCATTTATTTCAATGGCACTCCAAAAGTGCCTCCTGCCCGCAGTGCAATTGCCTGCACCGTAAAGCGTGGTACCGCAATGCCATGCAATCCAGTGCGGTGCCATTGCAAAAAATTGTGCATGCAGTATTCTGAAGTAAACTTTATGTTTGTAACGCTGCATTTGAGTATTTTATTTTAAATAAAAGATAGTATTTAATGTATTTATTTTTTTACCGATTAAATGAAAAAAGTAATTTGGCCAACTAATCGATTAGGAAAATAATCCTTAGTTGCAGCCCTAAAGCAGAGACTGAAAACAAAGTTACTATCGTATTCCAAAATGTGCGTGTTTTGTACTGTAGTGAAAGTAGCTAATCTTTCCAATAGCAGATGCAGGAGGTAAGGAACATGAAGCATTTTGCTTTGGGAAGCATTGATTCAAAAGTATATTTCTGAAGGAAAACATCTATCACATAGAAACTTTTTGTGTTTTTTTTCAGTGACTGTGAAAAGTAGATGCCAATCAAAATGATCCTTTAATTATAGTTTGTCAAGTCTTCTTCAGTCTCCTACCTAGCTAGGCTTGATTCCCACCTTCAGCTCAGCAATTGCAATCTCTTAAAGATAAAAAGGAATCCAAGAAGCCAGTAGTATTATTGACAATATTAGGATAAAACTGAAGAGAAATAAAAAGGTGCCTAGTTAGGAAAGCCTAATAGCAAATTGTAGACCAAGTACAGGAACAAAAGTGAAGAACTTAAAAGGAGAACTATGGGGTCAGTGCTTTTCCCCATAGATCTCCCAAGGGTCACGGGAGGACACAAAACTAGCGTCCTAGTATACTGAGACCGCCGCAACCGGGACAGATCCCGACATTACTACCGGATCCACCCAGCTGCGTGATCGACAGCTGGCTCTGCCTATCTAGAGGCAGAGCCAGCTGTACCCGCCCCCTCCATTCCGCCAGTCAGCGCTGGGAGGATCGGAGTGGGGAGGGGAATCCCTGCAGGGATCCGTGAGTGACAGTCACGGCTCTCTGCAGGGACAGGATCGAGAAGCAAGCGACGGTATGTGTTCGCTCACTTCTCGATCTATTGAGCCGATGTGTGACAGTTTCATTGTCACACGTCGGCTGGAACTATGAGCCTGAGTGATTTTCACTCGCCTCATAGTTCTCCTTTAAGAAAACATTCCACCTAACAAATTTCATTCCTCTTTGCTACTACTTATCCAATTATTTTTGTTACTCCTATAATCCATTTGCTATAAAATGTTTCAGAACTGTGCCAAAATGGTTGGTATTGTGAAACCATCTTGAAAAAACAAACAAATACAGTATCTGAACAGATTAGCCATAATTTGCTAAAATCGTCAATTCCAAATATCTGCACCAAACTCAAACTTATACTGAAACCTAAACATGGAAAAAGCAAATTATTATTACATAGTATTTATATAGCGCCAACAGTTTGCGCAGCGCTTTACAATATAAGGAAGACATTACAGTTACAGTACAAATCAAGACAAGATGGTGAGGGCCCTGCCCCTGAGGGCTTACAATCTGAAAGACAAGATGGTAATGAGAACAGAAACAGATCTTAACAAGTCTATCAAACAGGCCATAAAAGTCATGCTCTAAAATGTACAGGCTCCTTCATTAACCTATACAAATTAGTATTAATGTGATGCATGAAGGAGCAGAACACTATATAACTGGTAGCTAAACAATGCTCCTAAGCCATATGAAGTAGCTATTTTTGGTAAAAACTGTTTAAAACAAGCTACATTGTTTGTTTATAATAAAGCACTGACTTAAAATTTGACATTTTATAAAGTCAGTTTTGTAAAGCAGTGAATATGACATTTACCAAATATTCAGTGCAGGTAATTCTACCTGGTGCATGTATTTTACAGGGAATGTAGCCGCGACTGCCATATTCCCGGATTTTTAAGCTGGGTTTGTCCATTTCTTCCCTAGAAAACACTTACTGCCACCTTCACTATAAATCAGCTGGAAAAAAGTTCCGTACTCTAGTTTAGCTTGCACCCTTTTGAATATTGTAGAGTGCTGATAGACGTAACACAACTAAATAAACTTTTTTTTCTCATTCAAAAATACTGGAATAATTTCAATACAGTTATGAATCACAAGAAACAATTTTAACTGAATTTACATCAGTGCAAATAGTGGAGAGAAAAAAAAAAGGTGGCACAAAGGTGTCCACTTTTTTCACATCAGTTGTTCTCCTTAACCTGCCAAGGTAACTAGTGCTATAAAAATGAAGTATAAGGAAAAGGCGCATAACTTACCCTATGATGAGAGGATTGGGAAGCTCAGTCTCGGTGCCATTTACCATGGAGTCTTGATTTGTGTCTGTAAGCTTGTCTGAAGAATCAGCAGAAAGACCTAGCAAAGCACGAACCCGCTTTGACTTCACCTCCAATATGGTGTCTGTGTAGCCGACCTCTTGCAAATACCTATAGGGAAGCAAGTGTTATACAATTATCAATATTGATTTCCATTATGAAAGATCATAATCATGTGCTAAACCTTCCAGCAGGACTGGAAACACAAAGATGAGATATAGTGCAGCACTATACTGGGTACTTGTACTAAGAAAGCATCCACCACCAGCTACAAGGGTTGTCTGTACCAGCCTCTACAGTCACTGGACAAAGGAAAGTAGTAACTGGTACAATTCTCTATTCACTGTGTGCTGGGCAAAGGAAAGGAAAAGAAATACAAACAAACAATGACAGGAATATACTTGGGTATCTACAAACACTTGGTGGCAAAGTTTCTATAAAGATTAAAAAAAAATACTATAAACAAAACACAAATTAATAAACCGTTTAAGCTGTCAGATCAGTAATGTAGGGAAACTACTTACTGTCTTAGTAACTGTCGACTCTGTTTCCATATAAACTGGCTGTTCTGTGGTGGTTGCTGGACATCCGCCTCATTTGTTTCATCTAACACAAAAAGAATATATGAAAATATAAATGTCTGATTGCAACTTCTCAACTAAATTATTTTTCTACTTTCCATTATTTTTTCACAATAATATGCAAGTGAGCCCCATGGTCCAAGTCAGCTCCAGCTACTAGAAATAGATATTACAAAAAGAAAAAACCTTATTTCTGAAAAATAAGCTGGATGTAGATCAGCTTGCTTTCCACTTGCTCTTGTTTGAGATGTTTCTGAGCTCATTGACAGTTCATTAATAATTGCATTTGACAACCTCCTAGGCTGCATCAACCTACTTTTACATTCCCATGAGGAGAGAAGCAATATTTCAATTTTGTGGACCACAAGAGCATCTAAGAGTAAAAAAAGAGCGGTTCTATGACATGGATACACTAACACGGCTAACACTGTTTTCTTATGCCTGAAGTTCAGCTTTAAAGGCATATTCACACAATGTCTGGGACCAGAAATCTTTTTGGTCTGCACCCAAAATGCATCCCAATGTATTTCTGTGGTGTTTCTGGGCTCCGTTCACACCAGTGTAATCCGTTCCGCTGCAGGGACAAAAATTCAGCATGAACCAAAATGACTGTAAACGCATAACAAATGCATGCAAACGCACTGGGCAGCACCTGAAAGCCAATCTTAGGTTAAACACACTGGAGCGCACCAGAACGCGTCAAAAACATATAAAAAAAATGCACTGCACCACATTTGCAGAAACGCATCCATATCTGGTCCACACATGGGTGTGAAGAAGCCCTAAAGGCTTTAGCAAAGCTGCTCCAAGCTTGGTGTACAAATTGCTTTTATACAAGTCAAAGCCGGGGTGAACAAGGTCTAACTTTTTTACCCAGAACTAAAGCCCACATCTCATGACCTCCAGTCCAGCTGCTGACATTCTCTCTACAAGCACTGTCCAACTCCACTGCTGTCCGGGAAACAAAATAGCAGTTGGTATGCTCCTTCTACAAGATTACTGGACAGGAAGACAGCCCTGCCATTTAATTATGAGCACCGCCATTACTTTCCTGCTTTAGGAACTATAGGCTCCTAAGCTATCATCCATATAATGTTTGGAACTCTATTTTCTAAAGAAGGTTTCAGGATATAACTTTAAACAAATGCAAATAGCATCTTTCTTTACTCAAACCAGCCTGCATTCATATTTTTAGAGAACCATATCATCTATTATAAAGTGATGACATGATGTGGTCAAGTTGCTGATGAAGCTCATTAAACTAATACTGCTGCACCAAGGAAACCTTTTCTTACCATCTGAAGGGTTTATACAAACAGGAGCTTAGCGTAAGCTCAGGCAGAGACAACAAATGCGTATTTAATTCAGTAAAAAAACATTACGCTAAGATACACAATAGGCAATGCAAGCCAAGCTTTTATTTTGCACAGATGCCTCTGTGCAGGTTTTATCACCGCTATAAATTTGCAATGCATATTCAGACATTAAACAACTCATGCCTAGATCATGGTGCTGCTTTGTATTCCCACGCAAGTTGTAACAAGAAGATTTACAATTTTCTGCTCTATCCACGTTCATTTATTTTATTTATAGAGATTTGACACAATATTATATACACTAGCATAGGGGTCAGCAACCATGTGATGCTTTCCCTGTTGGCGTGGGAAGGTATAGGCTGTAATCGACAGCTCCTTACAACGTCAATTACAAAGCCTGGCCCACCAACCTCCCTGATGTCAGTGAAGCAGCCGGCTACTGGGTACGTTGTTGTACTGCAAAAGCCTGCCAAGCAAACCTGCACAAACCTCTATTTTATACAAACAAGTAATGACAAAATAAAAAGATTTAAATTTTAAATTAGATATCTATCTATCTATCTAGATATCTATCTATATATATTGTACAGCTTTCTTAATTTGGTCATTTTTTCACTCTCCAGTTACAAGGCCCTCTTGCACTCCTTTTTAAGCTGCATTTCGGCCCTACAATAAAGCAAGGCAGGCATAGGTATTCCGACTCCGATTGTTGTGATAGCGATATATCCCTTGCTGAGACCTCTATGCCTGGCCTGTATAAGCAGATAAAATCACTGCGGACAATCCCTATCAGATAGCTGAACTCACCAAATACCGTTTCCATCCCTAAAAGGTGCTTTATTCTGAACATCAGGTTACAGCAGATGACAGGATACAACAGATGAATGAATTGTGGTATTTATGTGGTCAAAAGATGATAACGTTGTAGCGTACTATGTGGAATACAGGTGTCCCTTGTTACATGTGGCCTGTAGCTGCATCCATGACACAGGAAGTACTGACCAGGAAGAAGGGTGGGGCATTACACACAGGAAATGTGTCGTAGATATTAGAGAAAGGGAACATAAAAAACAAGTGCATTTCCATAAAGGGTCACTAGATGGCAGCATGTGAATATATAAAACGCCCATAGGAAAATGGCACAAAGAAAACAAACTATATAATTCTTATCTACTAACGATGTTAATATGAACTGAGGCTATGCATAACATATTCTATGCCCCATTGGGACGGCACAATAGGCTTTTTAGCGCTAGTAATTTTTGTGATAGCCAGGTCCAGGACTTGAAATTTATAAAATTAGCTATCATTCTAAGAAAAAAAAAAACCAAAACATCTCATCAGAACGAAGGCTTTGTGTTCCAAACAACCAACTTCTGGGATATGTTAAATGCCATGCCTATTGTGGAAGAGCTGAGGTCTGAAATGTATGCTTGCATTGAAGCTGATCCGAGATCTGAAGGTGCAGAAATCTGGGCTGATCTCAAGTAGAAGTGATTGCATTACGCTGATCTAAAATATCAGAAATTAGGGCTAATCTGAAAGTGCAGAAATTAGGGCTGATCTGAAAGGTTTATGTGGTGCTGTATGGCTGTGTACAATATCTACTTGGATTAACTTGCCATGAGCGGTACAACTATGGGTACACAAATTGAAACCAAAGCATGCTACTGTTCCCTGGCAAGCGGGTTGTCTGCTTGTAAAGATGGAATTTGATGTGGAAAAGGTTTGACCCCTGTAAAATTTAAAATCAGGTTTTTTTTTTAATCCTTCATAAATCCATTTACAGAACACACAGCAGCATTAAAATGTATGCATAGACAAATTCGTTTTTCCTTGTGGATAGAGTAGGGAAGGATTTGAACCCATGTTGTAATTGTTTTGCTGTCTGTGCCCCATTGGTGAGATTTTCTTTTACTTTTTGCCCTGGACATGCAACGGTAAGAGGAAATCTCCCCAGTGTTGGGAAATGGTTGTGGATCATAGTTACTTAATAAAGGAAAAAAGGGGAATCAGGCAAGATTCCATAGACACACATCCATGATCAGGAAGGATAGTTGTCAAACAAGCTGGGAGATGCATCAACTTTGCCACGGAGAAAGGAAATGCAAAAAAACAAACAAAAAGGAGGTGGTCTATTTTATCACGTAGATTCAAGTAAATCGGTCCTGAAAGATATGGGAGTGCTATTGCAGATCTCTTTCTGAAAAACCTAGTTGTGTGGCTCTCTGGATTCAATACTTTTGAAGTCTCTGATCCAGAACAAGCATATAGGTTAGAAAATAGGTTAGCAGATGTTATATGCATACTTTTCTATAGTCTTTGGCTCGAGATATTGACATGAAAGTCAGGAAACAAGCATTTTCAAAAGGGAGAGATCAGAAATGGAGAAATGGAAGTTTTCCTGTTTTCATCATGTACGGTTTAAAAAAACTGACCATGACAGCTTCTAAGGTGTGCATGGGTTTCAATGGAAAGCTGTCAAATCCTTTCCTAAATGTCAGCAGCCTAATCTGTACTAGGCAATTACCCTAATAGGTCAGTGATCTGCTTGATTCTTTTTTCTTCACGATATTTTAACTACTACTAAGGCAAATTAACCAATACATCTCAGTGTAATCCCTTAAGCATTTCTAGACTACTGTGTTAGCTGGTGAAACAAAAACCTGCAAAATGAAAACCTTTATACGTAGTTATTAATTTTGTGTGTTCTACAAAACATCATAAACCTGCTACCTGAATGACCTGCCTGCTTTTTCCTCAATTAACATTATAGATAAAGAATAACTTACCAGAATCATAATTAGGAGGCTTCAAATCTCCTTGATTTAACTCTGTTCCATACTTCAGTTTGTGATATTTTGACCTTTAGTTGAAAAGTGAATAGAGAAGAGATTAGCTTTTGAAACTCTTCCAAAAATAAACTATGAAAGATAAGTGGTCTTCATAACTCTGTTTGATTTGCTACATAAAAGGAAAGTGTTAAATTTTTCCCCAAACACACACTGATTCTATGATTTTAACTATTGCCATTGTACAGTCTCCTAATACAGCTTACATTTAATTAGTAGACCAGCAGACACAGATTCCTGAAGTTTTCATTTAGTAATTTACCAGCTACAGACAACAAACATTTTCATCTGCTTACGCAACGCTAGCCCTATACATTTATCACCTAGAGAAAAATTAGCTTACCTAAAACTTGCCATATACATTATTATTACAGGTCTTTATATAGCGCTGACAAATTTACATAGTTGCACATTCATTTCAGTCCCTGCCCTCAAGGAGCTTAAAATCTAAGGTCCCCATCTCACATGCTTATATACATACATACATGCATACTAGGGCCAATATATAGAGGAGCCAACTAACCTTTCCAGCATGTCTTTGGAGTGTGAGAGTACCCGTAGGCACAGAGTACCCGTAACCCACGCAAGCACAGGGAGAACAAGCAAACTCCTTGTAGTGTCCTGACCAGGATTCGAACCGGGGACCCTTAGTGCTGCAAGGCAGAAGGGCTAACCACTACTTTGTTCTCGTCTACACGTTGTTCTCTTGTCAAATGAGACATGTTGTAGTCTCTTATGTAGCAACCCTGCCTTATGCAGATGTGTCTCTAATTTACAATGTTTGACTGCAGGGCTGTAGTCCCGGAGTTATTTAAATATACAAAGCCAAACTCCTTTTTGGCTTTCCTACTCTTTTGGGCTACACGAGTACATTAAATGTCGCTGCAGCCAGGAAGGATCCAAAAATTGCCGGGATCCACCCAGCTACCTGATTGACAGCTGGCTCTGCCTCTCTAGAACCAGCACATAATCTCGCAGATTTTATCTGAAGAGAAAAAAGTGCCTGGATGAGGAGCAAAGGGATCTAATCCTACAGGCAACACTAGGAAATTTTCTGCTTAATGCTAAGCAATCTTCGATAAAAAAAGGTCGCCAAGGGACCAGCAGAACTGTTCCTTTCTCTTGAGGGAACCCAGGGGTGTAACCAGATGACACGCCTTGCGAGTTTAACTGATTAAACTTCAAGACATGTAAGGAATGTATGAATACAATGGAAAACAGCGGGGGATTCCTCCATCCATGCTGCCTAGTGTTGAGCACACTGTAATATATAGCACAGTGTATGGCCAGCTAAAAAGTCAAATCTTTAAATCGGGAAAGCAAAAACAGAAACCAATGTTTGAGGACCATGTAGGTTGAAGAATCTGTCAAGAAAAAGACAAAGTTGAGTAGAGATAGACACTTTGATGGGTGTAATCATCCAAGACCTCACGGCTCCTTTGTAAGAAAGAGAAAAGTAAGATAGTAGTTTGCAACACCGTTCTCTACCCTCATAGAAAACAGGGGTTCTAGGGTGTGGAGAATTCCAAAACAATTCAGGATAATACACATTAGGGTATAGGAACCCAAAAAGAGTAAGTAAATGCAGGAGTCTAGAGTGGAAGCTTCAGAAGGGGGGAACAACACTATTGGAGTGGAAACAATAGTTTGCATATAGGAGTCATCAGAAACCTGAAAGAATACAGACTCTACAGGAACAGGCTGTGAAGATTCTGATTTTGAATTAGGGACGATAGAGGCTGAAGGCACTCAGAGAAAAGAACACCATAGGGTTAGAACTAGGTTCTGCCATAGATGACGCTGAGATGCATACTGAATGTCTGCAAGCAGATTGGTCAATAAATCACTCACTGACTGACTAAGTCAGAAGTGGATATAACAGGCCTGAAAGACAGAGTGCAGGTCTCAGAAAGCAGAAACATAGAAGTCGATGACGATCCTATAGCAATAGGAGTCTTAGTATCCAAAATACAAGCATTGGTTCCTCCTGGTGATAGTGGTAAACCTTTCTATAAAACAGAGGGGAGTACGAAATGAAGACACCTGATGCAGTGGGACAGACTTCTGAACATCTCAACAGACACACTACAATGAATAATGGTAAACAACTAAACCTAAAATGAGGCCCATTATACTTACAAACCACTGGAGGAGGGCAGAGAAGCAAGACCGAAGACTACATGATCCACAATGTGCTGCAAGTAGGAGAAGTAATGGGAAGAGATTTTCTTCAGAGCCAAAAGGCAGGGAGGATCATAGAGTGTGCACATGCAACACTCTTTCTGGCAAATGAAGTTCCTCACTGAGTTTCCTCAGGTATAACGGTTACCTCATTAAAAAAGGCAGGAACTTTCAAGAAAAATAATCAACTAATAAAATTGTTAGGTATTTTCCAATGCTGCCACCCAAATGGCAAAATTGATTAAATGAGTTGTGCGAGACTTAGTCAGGTTGTACCACAGCTCCAACACTGAATATTACTCTGCAGTTTACTAATATAGTACACAAGGGACTGAGAAGTGACAAAGAGTCCACTGTAGAAGGGTTATGTATAGAGCAGCATTAACCTCAAACAAACAGAGATTTCAATACAGAGTGAGACCGCAGAGGCTCTGGCACAGCACTGAGCCAGGAAAGAGGTCTGTGGAGAACTGACAGTACCCAAGATTCTGGAAAGAGCAATAATGCAGTCCAGTAAACATATTGGAATAGCCTTACGCCATTCAGAGGATTACTGAGGTTTCAGAAATTGGGACACACCAAACACTGTTCCACTGATCTAGAACTGAGTGCTCTGCTGCTAAATTGGTTGCACATAGTTTGGAAAGGGCAAAAATGCAGATTTCTGTGCCTGAAGCACTAGAAGCAATGTCACCAGCACACCAAACGTCCTTTCAGGATAGCCATGTGTTCATTTAGGCTGTGAGGAGTAGGGCTCTGGATTTGGCAAAGGCATTCTGGTATGTAGCCTTCAGGCACTGAGGATGTATGGAAGTCTTGTTGCACTCCTTACCAGATACCCCTATAACAAGGGGCGGATGCTTGCAGTGACTGCGGATGGTGCCGCTAATTGCATGAATCACTTGAAGAAATCACTCCTCCCCAAATCACGCTCGCCACTGCCAGACCCGCCCGCATCCACGCTCCACCTTCTCCCTGCCTCACGCTCACCGCCCGCCCAAATCCACGATCGGCACAGGGATGCGGGGAGAAGTAAGGAGGAGCAGGTGTGGGCGGATGACAGCCGCCGATAGACAGGCCCGATCTCAGGAACAAGTTGCTGGAAGACTGCTCAGGTAAGCCTGCACTTTCCCCACACATGGAGTTTTATAATATATTGCTGGGATTTGTATTCCTCTATAGCTGATGGTACATTGTGCTGTATATTATACCATCAGCTGTAGAGGAATACAAATCCCAGCAATACATTGTACACTGTATGGTTGGGATTTGTTGTATTCCTATATAGCTGGTGGTTATCTGCATTGCGCTGTATAGAGGACTACAAATCCCAGCAATAATACATTACAGCACAATGCAGAATACCACCAGCTATAGAGGAGTACAACAAATCCCAGCAATAATACATTATACAGCACAATGCAGAATACCACCAGCTATAGAGTAGTACAACAAAACCCAGCACTAATACATTATACAGTAGTGCAATGCCGAATACCACTAGCTATAGAGGAATACAACACTCAGCAATAGTACATTATAGAGCGCAATGCAGAATACCACCAGCTATCATGTACTATTGTTGGGGTTTGTAGTCTTCTATAGCTGGTGGTATACTGCATTGCACTGTGTAATGTACTATTGCTGGGTTTTGTAGTCCTCTATAGCCGGTGCCATTCTGCATTCATTGCTGTATAATATTACACTTTTCATTTCACTATAATGCACACCACACTTTTTTACTTCCACCGCTCCACGCTTGCTCCTGTGATGGACTGCAATCTCAATACAAACTAGTAGTCCCATCACTGGAGCCATTTTTTTAAATGTATTTTATTTTTTAATCCGATTAATCGAACGTAATAAATCGGCTAACTAATCGATTTTTAAAATAATAGTTAGCTGCAGCTCTAGAGAAAAACTCCCAGGACACTAGCAAAATACTGAGGCATGATGGTTAAAAGGTAGTGTTATATAGGGTGATGGCTCAATGATTGTGTGTGTGTCAGCATCTCATTGGAGGCAGTACAACCCACTTATCTAAGATAATCTACTATTCTTGTGTCACTCAATGGGTGATAAGGAAAAAGCTTTTTGGTCAAAGTGCAGCAGGAAGTATTCACATACTATAACATGAATATGCTATGAAAACATTTCCAGAAGCAATACAAGCATAAATTATTGTTTTTAGTAATCTAAAAATAATCAGGACGTGGACTTTTTCAAGACCTTGGTGACTGCAGAAATATGTATACCTTGACATTTGTTAACTAAACTCATGGCTTCCATGAAGAGCAAAACAAAAACACCTTTTTTACTTTGAGAACTATGGGGTTAAGGCTTTTCCCCATAGTTCTCCTTAGGGTAACGGGAGGACACAAACCAGCGTCCTTCCGTCACCCTAGGCTCAGTATACCGCGAGCTGTAGCTCATTATATACTGAGACGCAGCAGCTGAAGCTGATCCCGACAATTATGTCTGGATCCGCCCAACTGCGTGACTGACAGCTGGCTCTGCCTATCTAGAGGCAGAGCCAGCTGTACCCGCCCCCTCCCCCGTCCGTTCCGCCAGTCAGCGCTGGCGGATCGGAGCGTGGAGGGAGGGAGGATCGAGAGGTGAGCGAACGCCAGTATGTGTTCGCTCACCTCCCGATCTACTAAGCCGACCTGTGACAGTCTCATTGTCACAGGTTGGCTAGAACTATGAGGTGAGTGAAAAGCACTCACCTCATAGTTCTCCTTTAAGTGTCCCCCACTCCAGCTGCTTATATATACACACACACACACACACACACACATTCTTGGCTCTCTTTCACTGCCCCATTTTTTTTAAAAATCAGATACAAAACATACAAAAATACGTTTTTTTTGTTTACAGCTTCAACACAAACCGAAAAGCATACATAAACAAAAGAGATAAAGTCCCTGCCCAACCCAACCAAGCTCCGAACAGCACAACTGCTGCCCCATTCATTTACAGGAGTGAAGTGAAGAAGTCATTCTTTCCAGGGATGACAACTCACGTCTCAACCCTATATAAAAAGAGTTCTGCTGCCTCTGGGAGGGAAAGCATAAAATCAAATGTGCTCCATACCAAGAAGTACTGGGCAATACTGGGCACGCCTCACTCCAGGCAGCTGAACAGAAAGGCAGGAAGGAGGGAAGGGGAGAGGGAGTGTTTAGGATAAGGGTAGTGGGGTGCCAGGCATTTAATGACCCTTTTGGTTTGGCCTGCATATGGGTAAAACACAGGTACATTTAAAAGAAGAACTCCAGAAATTCTAAAAATTAAGCCAGAAATGTAGAAAATATACCCACCTGACCCTCAGTTCTGCAGCAGTCAGCTCTCACCTCTAGTCCTACACTCTAGCTGTGGAATGTCCCTCGGCATTAGACGTGATGTCACTTGTCCATAGACAGCTGGAGCACGGGTGAGAAGAGGCTGCAAGGGCCAGCCTAGCACCAAGCAGCACTGAGAATCAGGTGAATAAATGTTTTTTACTTTAGCCCCTAGACCAGGGGTAGGCAACCTTGGCTTTCCAGCTGTGCCGACTGTGGCTTGCAATGCCTTATGGGCTTTGTAGTTTTAGCACAGCTGGAGAGCCAAGATTGCCTACCCCTGCCCTTGACCAAAAACGAGCAGTTAACCCTTGCAGTGCGGGGGTAGCCCCACTGCAAGGATTAATCTGTAGATTTCCCGGAGTTCTTCTTTATACTAATGACATGGAAAGCATTAGATTACTTTTTGTCCAAATGCTGCTGACGTTATGAAAGGAAAACGTTTGTGATGCAAGAGAACTTTTATATTAGGAAATGGGCCATCAGAGATAAAGTCTAGACTAGAAGGGTGATGTTAATAGAACATTCACAGCTGTAATCCATCTAAATCCTCCACTGAACAAGAGATACAAATATAAGACAATGATTGGGAAAGAATCACGTGGGCAGAACACATACCTTTCCTGCTTTAAAGCATATTCCAACATTTTTATTCTTCTAACTAGGTCTTTTTTCAAGTTCTCTTGCCCTTTCCTTTCACCTTGAAGAAAGGCGATCTGTGCCTGCAAAATAAGAAAAAAAGCATATAAAATAACCAGACAAAATAACATTAAAATACTGCATAACATAATCATATCAATTAATATGCTGCTCATGTTACATATACTATTGCCAATGTCTACTCTTGTTCAGTTATATACTGCAATTAAAAATAGGATATGATAAAGGTTCCATCTACACTAGGGGTCTAATAACAGCAGAGAGCGGAAGCACTTTCTACTGAAAATGCAAGGGGAGGAATTTATCAAAGCAATTGCCATAGTTTTAGCCTATTAGATCATTTTTTTTTAAATGTGCAAATCTGTCCTTGCCGTCCGACCATTGTAAAATTACGGGCAGACAGCGGATGGACATACATTTATGTGATTTACTTCCTCGTTGCGGGCGCGCAAGGAAGACCCCACCGGGCATCTAAACAGCAGTTACCGGCTGTTATATACAAGTGTTCGGACAGCTCTACAGCCGGCCGATCGCTTGTATTACTGTGTGCCCTGGCCTGGACAGGAAGGGGGATTAACACCCCGGTCAGCAAGTAGTTAACATGCGCACCTGTTTTGACCTGAGCTTGCAGCTCTCTGAAACTGGAGCATCACCTAACAAAACAATCTTAAACTTAAGAAGTCCCCATGACCACTTCAAGAAGCAACAGTTAAGCTTTTTGCCTGAAATTACAAGTCTTCTTTCCTGGAGTCTACACTAGCAACATAAATCTGGCGCAAAGTGCATCAAATATATTCCGTGCAAGTTCAAACACTCGCAATTGCTATGATAAATTCCCCCCAATGTTGCTGCACACCACGTCCCGCATTCATTCATAAAACAAAGCCTGTGGTGTGGAGCTTGCGGTGTCTAATGGAGAGAGAAAAAACACAGTGATTGGAAGAGAAACCACTTACAGGTAAAGTGAGCAGACTTTACTCACAGCCTTTTGCAATACGTCATTGAGTTTACAACATCTGCCAGTGGTGACAAAATGCATTGGGGGGGGAACTTGTCAGAATTATAAAAAGGTGGGGAAAAGGTCATTTTCGGCCTGACAAATTCTGCTGCGGGAGGGCCGCTGCAGTGCCATTCTTTTCAATGGCACCCCAGACACACGCCTCCCACCCACAGTGTGACTGCCTGCACTGGAACGCATGGCACCGCAATTGCAAATATTGTACATGAAGTTTTATTGTGAAGTAAACTTTATGTTTGTAACACTGCATTGGTGTATTGTATTTTATGCACGATTTGGCACTTTATATTTTTCGATTTGACCCACAGATTGCTTACGGTGCAGGTACCTTCAGGGCCTATTCCCGATGCTGGGGAGGAGGTTCTGTGCCCTAATAAAGGGTTCTCTGCCTCCTCCCGAACCAGGGGGTCTCTCTTCGGGGGAGCCCCCTACCTAGTACTGGGTGGGACCTGTTTCGGCAGGTCCCCGAAGGATCGGGGTCCGCCAGCCTCCGGGTTGGTGGACCAAAGTATCTCAGCCCCTGTCAGGAGCCAAGCACCCTTGTGCACGTTTTTGTGTGCTGTGATTTCACGGTTCACTTTTTTTGTTCACAGGGGGAAGTTTGTTTTATGATGCACGTCTACGGGCTCTTAAAAAAAAAAAAAATCTAAAATAATGAAAATAATCATTAGTTGCAGCCCTCCTTTTCAGACTTGCATCATCTGCTACCAGAGTGTGAGTGGCCTTGAATATCTGCTTGCCATTACTTTCAGAGCTAGTTATTACTTCAGTTATTACTAAAACCAGTAATAATGGAATGCACAGGCAAATATTTCATATGATAAAGAGTAGATACATTTATATAGTCTTACAAATACAACCAGCCCTTTGAGGGCAACCATAATGCTGATGCTGCCCGCAATTAAATTGAGTTTGATGCCCCTGCTGTAGGACATTTGCAAAATATCCATTTTAAACAACCATTATTATAAATTAAACTTCCAGATGGTTTACAATAGAAGAAAATATTATTTTACAAAAAGGATCATTTTTGGTGTAAGTAGATAAGCTAAGCAACTCTTCAAGTAAATGTGTCCAAGGGAAAAAAAACAGAAAAATACACGTTTACAAGCCACTAGCGTGCAGCCATCACTTTTGTTTACAGAACAAAAACCAATAACACAATGGCTAATAATATCCTTCATTGCGTCTCTTGTATCAGTGCTTCCACCACTACTATTCAGTCACAATGTAGGCCACATTCACTCAGGTCTGATATCAGGGGTGTGTGTATAAAGTAAAGGTTTTGCCAAGCATGTAAGTGTTTGAATAAATATTATACCAACACAACTTTCAATTTGGGCACAGCCACGCAGAATGATCTGCACTGACCAAACACAGAGCCATATAACCCGTTCAACACCGAAGCTTTCTGCTAAAGTGTTGGGGCATTTAAAGTGACACTAAACTCAGGAGTTAAACGTTAAAAATGTATCCAAGTACCTTAACTTATAACAAAAATGTATCTTATTTGTGCATCACTCAGCTGTAGATCCTCAAATCATCTCTGAATCTGGTGGGGGGCTACTTTTATTCCCCGTGGTCCCTGTGTGTGCCACCGCACCAAGCTCATTCCCGTGATGGACTACAAACTCAATATACATTAGTAAACTAAACGTGAGACTGTAATCCATCATGGGAGGGAGCTTGGAGCGGTGGTTACAGTGATACAAATTTTTGTTAATAGTTAAAAAGGTACTTGAATGCATTTTTCAGGTTTAACTCCCCTGGCCCAATGTAAGAATACATATGTCATACTTGAGCAGCCCACGGAGATCCTGTAAATCAGTGTCATAGCCAAAGCCACCGGCTACTACAGTGCTTTACAGGATCTCCGTGGGCTGCTCAAGTATGACATATGCATACTTGGCCCAATGTAAGAATGTATAAGAAGTTCAGCATTCAATAAATGGTGCCAAAACTTTTGGAATTACAACAGTAATGAAAAGAAATTTAAAGAATAAACTACTTCTAAACTGACTTAGTACAGTATAAAAAAATAAAATAATAAAAAACAAACATTTGTAGACTGGAAGAATCTTATACCTCTGCCATGTTTACTGGTATCTATCTAGTTCTTCCTGTTTCAGTAAATCCCAATGGTTGTTTATTTTTATTTTATTTCAGAGGGATAAAAAGGGAAATCTTGCTAACCTAGCCACATCTAGTGAAAAGGCGGGGGGGGGGGGGGGGGGGGGGAGGACGCCAGAGGTGTCTATTATTGAATGTGTGGAACTTCATTTAACTGTATTTGGCAAAAACAAGCATGATATAATATGAAGTAAAAGAACTGGTTGCAGGAAGCCGTGTGTGTTTACACAGGCCCATTCATGCTGCATTCCTGGAATATTTTGCCTATGGAGTAGACAACTAACAAGACAGTGCAACTGATTTGAGGAAGTCTTTAAAAGAATTGCTTTAGTTAAAAAGTTAAACTAAAGTTGGCCATACATTGGCCAAATTTTGGGCGAGTTCAACTGCAACCTTGCTAGCACCACTTTGTTTCAATTCTTCCAATCGAGTATCTGGGCTGAAACTTCTCAGCTGAATAGCTGCTGTCACTGTTCAGGTATTCGGAGGGCAAAAACATGCCGTTAACTGCCCAAAGAAGCTCATGTACCTTTTCAGGCATTTGGCGTTTCCCTGCTTAGGTGTGAACATGGGCCATCAAAAAAAATGGGATTTCTTGTGTTGGGTATTTAAAAGCGCTTTTCCAACTGCTCAAAAATGCCTAGGTGTGAACCAGGCCTAGGATGGCACAACCGATGCTGATACCCGAGGAGTAGAACTGGCCTGATGTGTGAACACAGAAACCAGTTACAAGTCTGTCAGAAGTGTTTCCAAGGACATCAAACAACTTCATTGCAAATGGATCAGGAAAATTCGTTCAATTTTACAGTAAGAAATAAAAAAAAATAAAAAAAAGATTGAAAGATGAAAACATTTTCTTGTTTTTTTCTGAGGAACACAATTACTTTCCAAAATTGACCATTAAAATGAAACATTTCAAAAGACAAATCTCTGATTGCTTTATCAAATGTTCTGACAAAATGTTCACATTTCTTTTTTTCTTGTGTATTTTTTATATGCTCTGGGTGGTTACTTGTCTAGTCTTGTATATTTTATCATGCCTAGGAAAACATAAAAAACAATCATTTTTATGGGGGCTATAGGTAGCTCAACTATGGTCATTTGTAAAGACAGTTGGCAGGGATATCTAAAACCCCATTCTCCAGCCATTGCTTAGTATTTTTGCAGACTCTGAGTGTCTCCTGTAGCATGTCTGAAGAAATAAAATATAAACAGAATAATGTGAGTTTCTTTGGTAAAGGCAGAGGCTACAACTGGAGCCCCCTATATTTAATAGGTTGACCACCACTAGTAGAAAGGCATCACCTTAAGCTGCAACAAGCAGAAAGAAATACAATCTGGCTGAATTTCATGTGGATGGTAAACCATGAGTCATAGGCTCCACCTAATACTTTTTTAGGGCATGTAAAAGATTCATGTTGGCATGAAAACACGTTCACACAAATTAATTTCTGTTTTTCCTCACCTGTACAGAGAGGGTGTGCCCACACTATTACTGAAGTGTCAGTAGAAACGACCATCGCTTTGGTTACAGGTTTTCAAGCTCGCGACTGTGATGGACTACAGTCTCACATTTACGTAATTATGTTTGGGCAAGGGCAACTACACAAAGAATATCTGCTAAAACTTTAGGTACTTACAAACCAGCTACTAAGAGCAGAAAAGGCCATGAGTGACGTTTCATTGCCTTCTATGAGGGCTTGTTCACACCATGTCCGGATCATGTCCAGACCAGAACAGTTTGTTCCCAGACCAAAAAAGCATCCCAATGTATCCCTATGGTATTTCTCTGGGCTCTGTTCATACCAGCGCAGTCCATTTCCCCAGCCCAGCGTAGTGTGATGTGGTTGAAGTGCATCATGCCACGCTGTGCTGAAATGCAGTACTTTTTTTCCTACACACACCATAGCCAAT